TAGTATGTGTCTAACTGAATAATTTCAGATTGCCAGCCTTTTATTCCCTCCCCTGTGGTCTTATGCCCGATTGGTCAAAAGTAAATCACGTGATGAAAGATAGTTCGCCCATTATTGATGGGAGAAGCAAAAAGTTCGTTACACTGTGTAGATAGTACTACTATCTACACAGTGCAACGCACTTTCACTGAAGATAGAGGTACTATCTACAAAGGGCAACGCACTTTCACTGAAGATTATCCAAAAGCGCACTAAAACAGGCGTAATTAAGCGCGCATTACCAATGAGCGCAATTAAAACAAACACATGCGCGCACCGAACCCTCAAGGAGCCTCGGAAGTGATAGTTTATCCCATCACCTTCACCAACGGTAGTTATTTGCTTAATATCTACTCCCATCATGTTCAACATAATTTCAGGACAACGTGTTATCTCAATTTGTTTCGCGCAATGTTCTGACGATGAGGATATAATCACTTCCAAACCACCCTCTTAAGCTTAAAATAGATTTAATTATCATAGGTGTAATATTGTATAGATTATTCAAGATAACATAATGTATATCTACATCACCATGCAAGCCGACACTTACAAGCAGCATCTAACAAGATAACATGTTTTGAAAACATTGAATTGGGTGAATAAACGTAAATCCATGGGTGTGTAAGATTTCTATCTCTAAGGTAATAGATGTAATGGGGAAACAGTGTATCTAATCGGCAACACTTTGCATGAATAGACGTAGCGGTTTATGCAACCGTTCTAATTCTGCTTCCTTCTATTCTCTGTGTGTATCTTTTTATCCCTCCCCATCTCTCTCTCTTTCGAGTGTTGTTTCTTTCACCCGTCCTCTCAACATGTTCATTGTTTCATTTCTTTCGTAATGATTGCTGAATCAAACATTTTTTTTGTATTGTCCTTTCCTAATTTGTTCTATTCATGTTATGAAATTATTTTCTTTGTCGTTGTCGTCTTCTATCTTCCTCATCTCCACTCTCTTCTTATTCTATTCATTATTTTTGATTATCATCCTTTTTCATTTCTCCTTTTTTCGAACTTTCTTTTCTTTCTTCTTCTCCTTCTTCTTCTTCTTCTTCTTCTTCTTCTTCTTCTTCTTCTTCTTCTTCTTCTTCTTCTATTCCTTCACGTTGATCATCGTCACCATCATCTTGTTTTTCTTTTTCTCCTTCTTCGTCGTCGTTTCGTCGTCTTCCTCCTTCTCCTTCTTTTTAAAGATTCTCCCCCTGGAATGGACTAACTCTACATCACAATTACTGCATTGTCCAACAACCGAACTCCACCTGCCACCCAATGCACCGTACCCCAGCCACGCCCATGTACCCCTATCAGCCACGGCTGCCACTATTACCCCTCCTCGAACCCTCTGCGACATCTTACCATCAACTCATACATATCATACGCGCAGATCTTCGAAACAGCTTCCCATGATAATTCCTAGGCTATTTTGAGCTTCTCTCATCATTTATTCTATTTTCTCCCTCCTCTCTCTCTCATCTAAGACGCGCTTCAGCTCCCATCAATACGATATTATGGTAGCGGAAATAAAGGAATTGATTCCCGTCAGTTACGAATGGAGCGGTCACCCCTCATCTATTTATATCTCACCTGGTGCGCTTTGGGTGATCAACATCAACGCCTTTGCTCGTGTGACAGGTGTTAAGATTGCCCTATTCAAAAAGGCGCCAAAAGGAAAAAGTTGTGCTGCATTTTCTACGTCATTAGATCAAAGAGATGAATAGGAATTTTATTGGCAGGTAGATGTTTCTTTGGGAAGTGATAAAGATGTCTTAGTTGACCCGAACCTACTTTCGCTTCGCTTTACTAATTCTGTCTCTCTCATGTCGAATTCTAACCATGGGGATTCCTAACCGTCTTTATTGTTGCTATTATATTTCTTCACTCAACATATATGATTGGTTATTCATTAACTCCTTTCAAACGAATTTGTCCATATCATTTATTTTCTTTCTTCCATTTAAAGCCTTCTTTTTTGTTTGATTGATGGAATGAAAATAATCCCATTGAATAGAATTGGAAATGTTTAATCATGTTAACAGGACATCGATAAAAACAGCTTTGCTGATTCGATTGTTTCTTTTTTATCCTGTATAAATATGTCAAATAAATAAAATATAAATAAATATTATTTACGCAGTCAAATATAATGTGCGGGTGTGAAGTGATCAATCAATTTTGTTCGATTGATGTATCCGTCATTTTGGTTATTTATGAGTCGTTTTGTTTAGTAATCTATTTATACATTAATATGTCCCGTTATTCCATTCATCCAATTCTGTATTTCTTTAATAACTCGTGTAACTGATTTCCGGACATGTAATGTATAGGCCTAGCTACTTGTGAAAGCGGATTCTAATGTTACGATCCGTAAAAACAAAGATGAAAACCGGAAACAAAGAGAAGCAAACTAACAAACAACAAAGAAAACCCATCCCCCATAAAAAGTTTTTTATAAAAAAGATAAACGATACCGCAATAAAAATATATATATATAAACAATGACCAATATATATTTATATATATATATATATATATATATATTACTAAAGGCGTCATTAGAGGGACATTTGGAGTGAAAAAATGAGTCATTAAGTAGACATTGTCATTAGAAGGACAATATGGTGTCCTCTTAACGTTTTATTTCTCATAGAAGGCCCAATTTGTTTATATATCTCTCTATAAATATGTAATTCCACTAAAGGTGTCATTGGAGTGACATTTTGAGTGAAAAATGAGTCATTAAGTAGACATTAGGGTTAGGGTTAGTGTAAGGATTAGGGTTAGGGTTAGAGTTAGGGTTAGGGTTAGGTTTAGGTTTAGAGTTAGGTTTAGGGTTAGGGTTAGGGTTAGGGTTAGGATTTTTATGATGTCTGCTTAATGTACCATGTAGGGTTTTATATATATATATATATATATATATATATATATATATATATATATCAATGGTGTAAACGAAAGATGATGCAAACATAATAGTTAAACAATCTCTTTCACATCAATTCTATTCATGTCAAATCTATCAAAGACAAAAATGAAAAATGAAAACAAACAAAATAAACAAACAAAACAACAAAGACCGGTGACCCGGGTTCGAAACCAAGTCGATGCGCTAGTGCCCTTTGGTAAGGCATTACTCCTCATTACCAGGTCCCTCGGAGAGGACCTAAAGCCGTCGGCCGTCTGGTTGCTTACTTACAAGCATTTATGTTTTCTTAGCAGTCAGGTAAAAAAAAAAATAACAACCAACCAACAGAAGGTAAATGACCCCAAATGAATTAAATAAACACATAATTTGAACAAAGCGAAATATATATTACAATGGTGTAATCGAATGATTATGCTAGCAGATTAGATGAACAATCTCTTTCTCATCAATTCCACTCGAATCCTCGACATTGGGTAATAACATGTAGTATGTCCATGGTAATAACCAGACCCTTATGACGTCACATGTTGGCGGATGTAGACGGGTCCAAGGATTGAGGAAGTTACGTAGAGCTCCGTCACAATGGAAGTTTTGGCCACATACACCGCTAAGAACAAAAATGGAACAAAACAAAATAAATCACGCTTAATCGCTATGGGGTGAATATGTAACACTCACATGACTATAAAATGCGTTCCTTTGTTTTTCCCAACCAGCTGATCCAATAATCTACCCCATTGATAAATACTACCACCCCCACACAAGTCTATACCAACCGCTAAATAGGTCATATGAGGTCGTGTCATTATGGTTTATTCGATTATGTGTCGGTCTGTTATTACTCTTTGTTGGTTTGAGTGGGATTACAAATATCAATTAATAACTGCGTGATATTACTACAAATATGACTCCTACACACATTGACCACGTGACACTACACTCTACCCTTTTTTCTATCCTTGTTATGCTACTACTGTACCTTGACTATACAGCTATACCATTACGTCTATTTGACTGTAACTTGCTGCTATAATACCGTCACCCCGGCTACAGTGCTATTCGTTGCTACTATACTACTACTACTACTACTACTACTACTACTACTACTACTACTACTACTACAACTACTACAACTACTACAACTACTACAATTAATACCACCACCGCCACTGCTACTACGTCCACTACTGAGCATATTACAATTCGTTTTCGACTTCCGAGTTAACTCCAATATCTAGAGGTCGTTTGTATTTTCACTGTAAGTAACGTTTATCGGAATGATTTTTACCACGCAAAACAGTGTACGTGCAATTGTATGTTTCTAGTCCTCCTACCAATACCACAACAGTTTTAAGCACTTAAATATCTTTTGAAACTACAACTATATTCAAATATGAGATGGATCGTCCCTACGCCTGCATGTCTATCTGTGAGTACATGTCGGTAAATGGTGTGTAGCTCTAATCCCTGTTATCTGCATGCCGATGACGTGTAAGTGAACTTTTAAATACGTTGTTTATTATCATCTATTTATTTTTTTCCCCATTTTTTAATGTATTTTCTATTTAAATTGAACATTCCATTCACCTATTCCTTGTAAATTATCAATGATAATTCTTGAATGATCAGTTATTTCACGAGGATACCAATTAATTTGTATTTTACCTGTTTATGTGCATGCTTTTTTACATGTATCTATTTTATATTTTGCAGCTGTTATTTGTTTAATTCTTACCAAACAGGTACTCAAGGAAGACCACCAAATTTGTGTGCCACCCTGTATAAATATGAGAAATAAATGAATAAATAAAGCTCTCCTAAGTTGGGATTCATTTCAATGGTTCCAGGTTCTCTTAATCCATTCACCAATTTCTCTCTCTCTCTCTCTCTCTCTCTCTCCTCCCCCCCCCCCCCCCCATTTCCTCTCTCTCTCTCTCTCTCCCTCTCTCTCTCTCTCTCTCTCTCTCTCTCTCTCTCTCTCTCTCTATCTCTCCTCTCTCTCTCCCCTCTCTCCCCTCACCACCCCTACACGTAGATGGTAGAATGGGGCAAGGTGTCGATACGGTCGTCTTCCAACAACAAGTTGCTCGGGGTTGCTGTGGCGGTGTTGCTGCTGTGTGTCTGTGTGGCAGCGGGACAGAGCTGGCATTGTGGTAGGGCAGCGCAGACCATCATGGGCATGTGTAACAGCTGCTACGCCTCACACGACAAAAGAAGTATTTCGAAACCCTCTTATACACCAGCAAGTAAGTCTATTTCATTATCATGATTACATTTCGATAATTTAAAAAAATGATAATAACACTATTAAAGCACATCTGCCCTGGTTTGGCCAGCAGCGATTAGACATCCCTGCATGGTCACTGACAGGTGGTTATCTCATCAAATCACCTCTCAATTAACGTAAGAAAAAGGGGATCATGGGGGACCAACGGTCACCGCTTAAGCATTGTTTGTTATATAGAGCGTGTAAGTTGCGATAAGTAGTGAAGTGGGGCTTTAATAACAATAATGATAATGTAGGTTTACAAAGCGTTTGATATATCAACGATGTCTCTAAGAACTCTACAGATGGTATATTGCACATGTATCATTACCCAGGTTATTGGATTTAGGCTGACCCTTAAACAATTCGTTCCTATTTTCACGAAGTGACAGTAGTGAGGAAAATCCGCACGCAAATTGTATGCGATTTTCATTCACTACCGTCACTTCATGAAAATAGGGACGAATGTATGCACATTCTCCTCTCCCTGTGGAGCATTCTATATTCATAGCATCATCATCTTATGGGGTCGATCTAACTCGGTATCTCAGGGAAGCTTGGCTTTGCTTGGCGATATATTGAAATGTATCCACGAACACGACCTCTTTAAAAATAGCCATATAGTTAACGTTTTTAGAATTGCACCCCTTGAAGTTTTCAACATTCATGAAAGACCAAGTATAGTACTGAATTAGCTACCCTGTCATTATTTTATCACGCACAATAACATATAAATGAATGAATAAATAAATACATTTCTCTGTGCTTTGACGGACATTTGGCATTGTCCTGTCAAACAAAAATGAAATCGATTCGACTTTCTGAAATTTTCTTCAAAATCATTATTCAGGGCAGAAAATGATAAACGATGGCCCCCTTTCAAAATGCTTGCGGTCAATTTAATTTTCTCGGCTCACGATCAATGATTGGTCTCTCGATGGATCATAAGCAGTTGCCGCTATTCTCTCTTGCTCCTCTCTTCTTCTTCTTCTTTTCTTTCTTTCGTTCGTTCTTTATTTTCCTTCCAATTTAAAGGCCCACTGCACTACTTGTAGCTACTTGCGCCCTCTATATAACAAACAATGCCTAATCGGTGACCATTGGTCCCCCATGATCCTCTTTTACTTATGTTAACTGAGAGCTGGGTTGATGAGATAACCACCTGTCCAGTGACCTTGCGGGGCAGTCTAATCCCTCCTGTAAACTACGGCAGATAAGCTTTAAAAGACATTGAGCTTCAACGAAAATCGAATTATGTTAGTTCCTTATCTTTTGGTGGTCATAATTTTCTTTTAAAGCCCCACTGTCCTACTTGTAGCTACTTGCTCCCTCTATGTAGAAAACTTCCCCAATCGGTGCTTGTTGGTCCCCCATGGTCCTCTATTTATTATGTTATTTAAGAGCTGAGTTGATGAGATAACCACCTGTCCAGTGACCTCGCTGTGTAGTCTAATCCCTCCTAGCCACACTAGTGTTGATAAGCTTTAAGGGGTCTTGTAATAAGGTTATAAATGGTTTTTGAATTTTCAAATTTCAATCAGAATTCCAATCATAAATATCTTGATAATCAGACAAGCGATCGGCTTGTAAAAGTCATGGGATTCCTGACTGACCTAAAGGTTTATAATTATGATTGCAGCATGGGCTAAATCCAGGATTTTGTTTAGAATCTGTGAAAAAGATACCAATCCCTTTAATATGTGCTACATATATGATATTGAAGATATTGAAAAAAAAAGGATTTCTTCGTTAATTTTCGTTTTTCTCTCTCTCTCTCTCGTTTCATGACCAGATTTCAACTCTTTATTCTTTTTTGCAAAATAATTGTTTAATTTAGTAGCAATTACAGTGCTTTCGCGCTCCATTAACAGTCATTCAACCCAGTTTGAACTCCATTAAGGGTTGACTAGATAACGCCTGTACTTGGCTTGAACCAAATCATTAAAAACATATTTCTGTTTTTCAAAACCTCCGGGCTGATGAAACGGAAATTATATTTTCATTAACAAAACAAAAACAAAGAAATCTGCTCAGCGGGGGAGGAAAAGTGCATCAAAAATCGATAAACAGTATTAAAGCCCAATGGTATTTCAATTGTGAAAAGATTACACTTGGTGGACCTCATAAAATAGATTGACAGCAAATTGCACCTGTCGAATCTGTTAAATAGTTTTGGATGTCGTGAAGGTGAGAAGAAAACAAGGGGGAAAGCCCCCGAGTGTGGGTGTTTTTGTTAGGCTGTACGAGTGGGCGATCAAAATATTTCACTAGAAATGGTGTCATTAAAATCCTCTACATCGGATGAAATTAGAGAAGCATTGAACACGTAATAATAACTTTAACATAACTTAACCTTCTCTAAATATTTCTCAGCCAAAATAAAAAAAATATATTAACAAGTAAAGAAACATAACTACACATGTATACTAATGATTGCTTATTCAAGACAGAGAGGATAGGTATTAGCATTTTATAAATTGCTAAATGAGAACATAGCCAAGTTATTACACTTTACAGAAATAATGTCGTATTGTACATGATTCCAGGTAACTACGTCAGCCAACTTTATTAAGAGATGAGGTGTCTTTATCAAACGACAAGGATGCACATGAAAATTAATTGTATTAGAAAATACTCGTCGTTATACTTTAGTTTAGTTACCCCCTCCCCATCTAATGCCCCTTTGTACCTTTACAACAATCCAGAGTTACCTTGTCTTGATAATCCCTTTTAGTAACGATAACACTTACTGATGTTTATTATTTTTTATATAATGACCCCTTGTAATATTCACGCTTTTCCAAATATTGATATAATTTCTTTACGCTTAATTCCAGAGGTGGGAAAGAATTTAAATGTGGTAGAAATTTCCTCTAACTCAATAATAGATCATGGGCCCTTTTCACAAAACTTGTCATCAGTGACAAATGACACTTTTTGTTATAAACTAGTGAAATCCTTGCTTCTGATTGGTTATCAGCAGATTTTTCACTGATCTTTGTCATTTGTCATTGAAAAAAGGCTTTGTGAAGCGGGTCTCTGGACTTACTATTGTTTTTAATAATTTAAATATCTTGGAATTAGTAAATGTATTTTCGCTATGAAGTAACTTTTTTTTTTTTTCGCTTCGTTCCTTTCTTTTGCGAAGGTTGTTGATAGGTATCCTGTTTCCTTCTCTCATTCTTTCTACTCTTGTTTTGTCTTTTCATTCCAGAGCCTTTCCTACACAAACGAAATGCAGTGCACTTCCTCAGAACGACAAAACGAGAAATTGAAAGTCGGCCCTCTATGGGTGACACGGCGATTGAGGTGGCGGTGGAGCGGAGGTCAACGGGTAACCGCGGTTTCATCCACGAGTGCTGCAACAAGTTCTGCGATCCGGGGGAAATGGTGTTGTACTGCTGCGAGAAACGGCAAATAGAATGGGCGCAATTTCACAACCTGTTAAAAGCATAGCACGTGTTATATGTAGTAAACAACAACAGCAGCAGCAACATAATCACCATCACCATCAACAGCAACATCAACAACAACATCAACATCAACATCAACAACAACATCAACAGATACGCCTGTTTATTAGAGTGTAGAAAAGCAGTAAATGACATACATTAATTTTGCCAGAGTAGGATATTGATTTGAATTTAAAAGAGTCGGTAGTTGGAATTACACATGGTTAATCATTTTCTAATTTGTTATAGAGGGATATTCAGCGGTTATTAGGTCGGCTTTAGGCTTTTTAAATAACTAGATTGGTTATATGTTTCATTTAATTTACATGACACTGCCTTTTGTTATGTTCTACGACCATTCAAAGATTCGTTTAAATGTTGGATAATGAAAATATATATATATATATATATATATATATATAGTTCTACGTTCCTTTCGAGATCCGGCCATATTTTTCTTTCATGAATTATATCCTCCATTTTCTTACATGTGTCTCCCCATGTTTCGGGAAATTTGAAAGAAGTACTGAACTTTCACCGCTCAAAATTCAAAATGATTCTATTCTTTTGCAAATATTCTAACATGAGTTCAATGTGTATATCTTTATACAAAACTTGCTATAAAAAACACAGACTAATTGTATGTTTTGTTTTCTGAGCATTACATGAATGAAAGATTGTTATCAAATTTCGTGTTAACGTGAAAATGAATGTGCTCAACCCACCTTCGTTCGCCGCGCATCTTTGTCATTAAAACAATATATATATATATATATATATGAGAGTGTACATGGATATTCAAGTAAATAATTTGTAATAAGAATATGATCTACCGTATCAATTAAATGCCAGAGGAAAAAAGAGTAATTTTTGAGGGAAATGTGTTGGTTTCTTCTCCTTCTTAATTTACATCAGTTAGAAATCTTTTGAAACCACTAGCTGTCGTCTGTATGATGTAACCGATTTTAACATATGGCAATTTCCAAATAAATTCATATACTGTCTAAATTGGGAGTTTTAAAACGTATATAGGAAAAAACAAATACATCGGTTAATATTTCAAATGATGCAACAGAAATAGGAGCAAATGGATCCTTATGTAGAAGTATGACCGGAAGACGAAAAATACTCAAAGCGGATTAACATTATAAAAATCATGAACGGAACAGGACAGCATTTTCCGCAAATCACTATAGTGATTTGCGGAAAATGCTGACATTCAACGGAAATGTTAATACGTCCAGTAAATATTATAACGACTCTAATGGATTCAGTGTCCTCTATTTCCCGACCGCTGTTCATGGTAAGCAAAAAAAAAACAACACCTGCCACTATCCCCAATTTGTCGTAAAGGTTAACTAGCCAATCTAGTCAGAGTTATCGTCATGGTAATACAAACATTAATGGGGGCGCTTTTAGGTTTGATAATCATTTAACAACATACCCCCTCCCCTTACATGTATATTATTCTTCAGGCTTTTAGTTGGCGACTTGGAATATCGGTAACAAACTTAATTTCATGTTTATTATGAGCCACAAGTTTATGGGTATGTTTAAATAGATTGGGGATTGGGGCGGGGGGGGGGGGTCACGATACTTAATATTCCTATATCTTGTTAATTCATCGATTTACAACAAATGGCAAATGTAAATGCTAACATAAGATAAACAGAAAAAAATTATCTCTAGCATTTATAAAATTGAACACGCGCTTTCTGTTTGAAAAAAAAAACTGGTTGAATATGAAAACATACCGTGTAAATATTTATGCTTTCGTTTAATGATTGCTATATTGTAAAGGCGAAGAAAATGATTATATTCTGTTTAAAGAAGCTTGTATAATTATCGTGAATGTTACGGGTATGTGAAATGCCGGCTTGTAAAGATGATCAGGCTTTGAGGTTATATTTTTGTGATTTCTTGCTTTGGATGTAAATTTATTTCAATGCATTATGAAGGACGTCGGTTGCGAAATAAAAATGTTTTATGTCAAGAAAAAGTCGCTGTCTAAATTTGTATAATTAGAGATGAGAAATGAGAGATGTGTTACTCAACTTTATTAATGGCATAGTTACAGAGAATATGGGGGCACCCCCTCCCCTCAATCGAGTTTTCAAAAACGGTAAAGCGAGAAAAGAGAGAAAGAAAGAGAGAAAATGAAAGGGTAAGAAAAGAAGACGCCTGGAACCCCTCCTTCACCCTAACACAAACCAGTAGCCTTGTTATTTCGCATTTCATTTTCCGAATAAGATCAATGCCCCCCCCCCCCTCCCACAAAAAAAAAAAAATCTCCAGTGCCGCCCCCTCCTCTCTCAATTGGTAGACTCACTCTCTACACCACTATGAAGATAATATCGCTCTATAGTGATCAAGCTGATCCATATTTGTAGTCGGAACTTTGATTACTTAATGATAGCTAGAGGCAGACTGAAAAGAAAAATACCCAAAACAATATTTTGTGGAAATCTGTACAACTTCCCGAATTCCCGAATCGTCAATAGTGTATGATGTGATATACTTCCGCTTTGTTCTGTGTAACATTTCTACTTTTGAATCATAATAATGTATACATGGGAGTCATACAAATGTATATTATGTGCATCATAGGCGCCGGAAGTGGGGGGGGGGGGCAGGGGGGGGGCAGTTGCCCCCCCCCAGTCAAAAAAGTGGGGGGGCAAAACGCATTTTTGCCCCCCCCCAAAAAAAAAAACGCCCCCCCCCCTCCAAAAAAAAAAAAAAAAACAGTAAAGGAGTAAACATGGTTTGTATTTTTAATCCAAAAGAACGTAACAATAGTAAAAACCTGAATTAAATCACATATACAATTCCAATCAAAGAAAAAGGAAAGTTCACAGGAATTAAATTTCATAAACATTGCGCATGCCACCTATACGGTATTTTAAATGGAGGTCTCTATTATAGCGATACGCGCATATCGTGGACATATTGTGCGAGAATGGGAAAGCGTGTCCGTTTTTTTGTTATAGGGGTGAGAAGACATGAGCCCCTGAACGCTGGCGTACTGATAGGGGGGGGGGTGGGGTTATGTATTTCTTATTCGAAACAAGTGATTTACAAATGTTGATGTTGTGACATGATTTTCCGGCATTTTTTCTCCATTTTTTTTGTAAGTCATACCTTTTTATGCGTTTGTTGGAAAATAAGAAATTCCCACATTACAGTCAGGCGAAATACGCTTATTTAGAAGCCTTTATGTCATGGTCTGCAAAGTGGCTGGGCTCGAGCCCCCCCCCCCCCCCCCCCCCCCCCTTTTTTTTTAAAGTATGTTAAAGAGAAAAAGAAAGAAAGACGGAGAGAAAAATAAGTGACCTGCCAATGTCACAAATAAGGTATAAAAAATGCTCATCTGACCGTAATTAAATGCTTAAAACCCCAGAGCTTACGGGGGCTCCACCCCCGGACCCCACCAAGGGACCTAAGGCGGGCCCCTGGATGCTCATTTGACCGTAATTAAATACCTATAACCCGCGAGCTTCCAGGGGCTCTGCCCCCTGGACCCCACCAAGGGCCCTAATTAAGGCGGGCTCCTGGATGCTCATCTGACCGTAATTAAATACCTAAAACCCCTGAGCTTCCGGAAGCTCTGCCCCCTGGAACCCCACCAAGGGCCCTAAGGCGGGCCCCTGGATGCTCATCTGACCGTTATTAAGTACCTCAAACCCCTGAACTTCCGGGGCTTTGCCCCCTGGACCCCACCAAGGGCCCTAAGGCGGCCCCCTGGATGCTTATCTGACCTTAATTAAATACCTAAAACCCCTGAGCTTCCGGGGGCTCTGCCCCCTGGACCTCACCAAGGGCCCTAAGGCGGGCCCCTGGATGCTCATCTGACCGTTATTAAATACCTAAAACCCCTGAGCTTCCGGGGGCTCTGCCCCTGGACCCCACCAAGGGCCCTAAGGCGGGCCCCTGGATGCTCATCTGACCGTAATTAAATACCTAAAACCCCTGAGCTTCCGGGCGCTCTGCCCCCTGGACCACACCAAGGGCCCTAAGACGGCCCCTGGATGCTCATCTAACCGTAATTAAATACCTAAAACCCCTGAGCTTCCGGGGGCTCAGCCCCTTGACCCCCTGCCGAGGCTCATGCCCTGGACCCCACGCCAATTTACGCTCTACCTGATCGATAATACTCCACTTTGAAAAACGTTCCGCGGGACCTGCATATAACGTGTAAGACTGGTGGTGATGCAGATTTTTCGTCTGCCCCCCCCCCCCTTCCGAATTTTTTTCTCATTACGTCACTGCCCCTGGAAAGTGAGCCCCCTGGAATGTTTGCCCCCCCCAATCCCAAACTGCTTCCGGCGCGCCTGATGTGCATCATTTTCGAGAAAATTATATCGTTTCCATAAGAAAAATCCCCTCCTTTTTGAAGAATCATAATAACCCAAAGCGGAGCTCATCTCTTCTCTTGCATTTATGATGCAGGTGGAAAGAATTATATACCGTATCAAATTCCAATCCATGTACATTATCAGACAACCCGTAAAGGCAATGTAACATATCGCTTGGACTAGATAAGCCACTCATAGTTTTTCGAAGACATCAACGTTTTATTTTCTTGATAATTATGCCTCGAGTGATGAGCTATTAATATATGAAAATAATTCATAACACCTGGCAGTTTAATGTCTTGACATTTGTTTTTCATAATGACTCATGTATTCTTCTTTTTTTTTACGTGGCATTTCGCAAAGGACCGTTCAGGTATTATTCCAAACAAACATTTAGGACACACTTACTATGTTAACTTTGTATAATTTGTCTCCGGTGTTGCAACATTTGGCATTAGTCTGCTTGCAATTAGGAGACCATTGGTGATACAAAATGATATGCTTCAGGCATAACTATGTTTCTGAAAGAATTTTCCACAAAAAAAGAATTTAAGACAAAACGTTTTAGGGTATTAACGTTTTAAGGGGGAATGGTAGCTTAAAGAGAGATTACGAGAAAAAGAGAGAAATGGATATGTGGAGAGAGAGAGAGAGAGAGAGAGAGAGAGATGGCATGCATGTATTTTGAATCAATGTGTATACTGTAAGTCAAAAGGGATGAGTCGGAAGACAAGAAAGAGTCAGAACGATTAAAAATAAAGCGAGATAACATGAAGACTGAAACGATTGGGAGGGGGTGAACAGAAAGACATAGAGCGGATAGGATGAAGAAAGAGACGCATAGAGAGGGGGTCGGATGAAAAGAAAGAACAGCGGGGGTGGTTGAATAAAGGGGGAAGAAAGAGAGAGACAGAAAGGGAACGACAGACAAACAGACAAGAAGAGGGAGAGAGAGGCGGGGGGGGGGGGAGGGGGAGATTGCAGCTGTAGTAGAAAGTTGACGGCATTACACCCTCTCATAGTTCTTCTCCTCCCCTCCCCTCTCCATTGTATCTCTTTATCATCTTATCCTCTTAGCTGGACACAATTTGTCTTCTCATCTATCATTTATTTTCAGCTTATGATATCACCATCTTCTACTCTTTTTTTTCTCGATTAGCGATTTCTTACATTCCTTTGGAGATCCCATCCCTCCAAGACGCCCCTACGTTATCCGCCTTTCTATCACTCTCCCATTCTCTCTTCTCTTTATCACTCTCTAGTTTCTCTCTCTCTCTCTCTCTCTCTCTCTCTCTCTCTCTCTCTCTCTTCTTCTCTTTACTTTCTCTCCTTCTCTATACTTTCTTTCTCTATCTCTTTTATTTTCTTTTTCTCTACCACCCATTCCCGTTTTCCATTGACGTTTCACAATACACTAGTTTACGGTTGTGTGCGCCATTTTAAACAAAGCCAATGACCTAGAGGTCATGTATTTATGCGTATTAATTAAGATTGCGCCCATGCAAATTATGATAACATCACTGCCTACGCATTTGGGTGACATGAGAATAAATTGTCATTGTCATTGTCATTGTCATTGTCATCACTTGCATGGGCGCAATCTTAATTTACGCATAAGTACCACTGACCTCAGGTCATTGGCTTTGTTTCAAAGCCAATGACCCGAGGTCAACTGTCTGCGCATGCGCACTGATACAACCGTAAACATGAGCAACTTTTTTCAACGATTAATACAGAACCGTAATAGCAACCACTTCCTCATAAACATAATTATAGTAATGATTCATATAATTATAACCACTATAGAGTAACGTATACAAACAACACAAGGGTTTTATATAACATTCTTCTTTAGTACTTTGTGTATAATTACTATAATTGCGAGGTCAATTAAATAAACATATATGCGTCAAAAACATCAAGCTTCGTTCAATTTGGTACTTTGTAATGCCCGTCGGAAAGTAAGAATAGACGCCAGGAAGTACATCCCTAGCAACTGAGAAAACATTACATAATTAAAATACGATAGAAACACAACCAGTAAAGTAAAACAATCTATTCATAATAATTATCACAGATTTGGAAGATATAATGAAAACCTCACTCCCCTGATGGGACAACTAGTACCTAGTTTTGAATGATGATCACGAGTAATATCATAACTTTCGAAATATTATGAAAAGTAACAATTATTGTATACCCACACGAGATACATACGAGCTAATTGTGTTTAACTTTTACTCTATCCCTACCATAAAACAGAATTGGCAACAACCGTTACCAGTAGGAAACAACGAGGGTCGAGGGGGTAGGAAAGGGAAAACCATTAAGGAGCAAAGGCATTGCAAATACGATTATTATTGGTTTTACTTTTTTTCTGGAAAATCCGTTGCACTTGCAATTTTTTTGCACATTTGGCCGTAGATGGGGTAATTCCAAACTTATGATCAAAACATTGTTGTTGACTGTCTCCTAATGCGGTTAACAGTGTATGGTCTACCGCCGGGCAGCCAAGGGTGGGAGTACCGTATAAGTGGTACTCTTCCTGTATATCAATACGATAACATAAGACTGCAACAAGTCCAAATTTCCGTAGTTATATTTAAACATAAAAATGATAAAATGCACGAGGCAGAAAAATGATGAAATGCATGAGGCAGAAAATTATCTTAGTTACTGCGAAAAGATACGTTCCAATGAAGACAAAAAATGCATAAATATATACAGCAAAACGCATGAATGTATGGTATCGAAAGTAACTCAGCTCACAAAGAAACGTTTTGTCTAGTCCATACAGGACAAACGATGAGTTGCAATGGTGGGGGGAAAAATCCATCTAAAAAAAAATCCATTAATGTTTTTTTTTTTGTTAATCCTGTAAAACAATTTCCATCTAAAATTGTACCTCTTCCTAGACAGTGAGTAAACAGCAAACGACACCAATAATTGCACAACCTATCATGGAACTCCATAAACATTGTGCTGACGAGGGCAAATATAACCCATATTTTCTGATGAATTCGTGATAAAAACAAAAACGTTGTAAAATGAACTCGAGATAACGAAAATGACGAAGTTAAAACATCCTGTAAAAGGCAAATAGTAACAAAGTGAAAATAAACTCTATAGCCTTATGAGGTTGATGTACAGTTAACAATCAAATTGTTCGTAACCCTTCTTGCTTCAATTTTTTTCTTGTAACTCTTGTGAATACTTTTTAGATGTAAAGCTTTAAAAGTGGCTTTATCAAGAAACAGAAATCGGGACAAATCAATCGTTCACATACTTAACAAAATTACAAAACTTGGTAAGGGTATGAAGTTGTTTAGTTTGTTAAGTGTAGGTATCAAAGACTTACAGGCAAAACTGATACAAGCAATATTGAACACATGGTACACAATTTGAAGGAATACACAATGAACTGTTTGAGAAGTATCTTCTTTTTGAATACGGCTGTAGACTCGACAGAAGTTTGTAATTATACTGGTGCAAACAGTGTTCTACACGAGATAGAACTTAAGGATAAAGTTGAGTTCTGGTCATGCAATTGCATTGTGAATGAAACATGTGGAATCGTTTAGAGAAGGTTGATCCTGTATCATATAAGTATTGATGTGTAGGTCTACTGCAAGGCTCTGGAGTCATCAAAATGATAAGAAATTTGGCCCAGTCTTGGTAAAGTTACAAGCACTGTACAAAGAAAGATGTATATGGGACTACACAAACATGTGACATAAAAAAAACGTCCCGATTTGTATGATGTTACTTGCCATATTTCGAATATTAAGGCATTTGAAGAGCCATGCTTTTCAGGGAACATTATTTTATCTGATGTTCTTCCACACTTGCACAATACAAGGATAACGCTCACAAAAAATATTGTTCACCTCTTCCCAGAACTAAACCTTCTCTTTAAAAATACCTGCATGTTCGTATAAAAGGGACACCCCTTTTAGCTTAGACCATGGACCTACCATAACAAAATATTAGTTTGATTGTCAACATTTACTAATACTGATAATAATGATGGGCAAAGTGCGACATGTTATGTCAATCACAATAAATTAGGTCAGGGGGCCAGTTTCTCGAAAACGTTTTAAGTCTAGGTTCGTGGACATCCCATTGAAACGTGCGTTAATTCTATAACGCACGTTTCAATGGGATTTCCAAGAAGTAAGACTTATTTACGGTTACGAGTAACTACCCCGGCAGGCAGCTTTTTGTGAACAACATAGATCAATTTACAGTTCAAATTCCAAGCATGGAATAGTACATGTATGTTATTGTTATATAATACATGCATGACAAATGAGTGACAAACACGGCACTTATAAAGTATTACACTTTTCTTCCGCATTATGAGTTGTATAAACTTCATCTATGATTTTTTTTTTTTTAATGCAAAGACTTTATATTTTATACACATCATACCGACAACAGACTTAACAAAACCAAAAATATATCAAACCGAATCTCCGATGATCAGTTAGCGGTTAGTCGGTTAGCGGTGTGATCGAGGTATGGTGAGAGAAGAAGCATTCATCATGTATAATGTATACTCGTGTATGTAAACTGGTTCAAGTATAATATTCGAGCTGTGCACTGTGATACAAACACAAAAGTGACAACATCAATACCGAGTTGAATGCAATACCTCAGTCATGACGTCACACCGAATCCAAACCGACCAATTATTGGCCATTCAGTGAAATGTGATGTTATTCGGCCTGTTGTCGGTCTACTCTTGTGGGTGGTATCCTTAGACGGTATGGAACAACAAGTATAGTTACTGGAGTATATCTATTTCACGATGGCCCATTTTTTTGTAAGCAGGCACCCTTTAAGTACTTTATAATCAGCAGTACCGACAAGATATGCGAATATTTTTAATCAGAAAAGGTCTTCTAAATCAGGATTGTTTTGTCTCTGCATCACTTGTTGATGCCGTTGTCTCTGGATGTTTTCAAGCATCGACTCCTGTTCTTGAATCCGTTGCTTTAGAAGACGCATTTTCTCGGCTCGCGACAAATACTCTGTATCGGAAATCTTCGGGAGCTCGCCAGTCCCATCGGCTGGCCTCGCATCGGCAAGAAGTCCTGTCGGTTTGTCACTCGGATGGCAAGATTCATCATCGGTATCTTCCGGATCAGTTGGAATGTCTGTCGAATCAGAGTCAGTATCCGGTTCGGGTTTGATCGTCTCGTTTTCGGCAAGATTCGGGCTGGGTTCGACAGGGTTCATTGGCTCGTCGTCATCGGACAGCGGTTCCGATTTGATGCGTATTTTTAACACCTTCTTAGGAGTGCGAGTATCTCGTTGGCCATCTTCCTCCCTAATACATTCAACCGTAGTGTTACCCGATAACCTGACCAAGTGCGGAAGTTCGATGTCTTTCTTCAACACGACCACTGCACTAGCAGACGGTTTAGGTGACGGCTGTTGAGAGGAGCAGGTGATCTCTGCAGATGAAACGTCGAAGTCCGAAGATGATGGTGAAGATGTACATTTCCGTCTCTTCTGAGGCGGCGGAGAATATGGCCTTGTGACTTTCCTCTCGCGCCGACTCCTCCGTGGGCTGGGTGAGTTGACCCCAGTATTCTCTGTGGATTCGCATGTACCCTCCTGTCCGTCACATGGTTCAGAACTCCGCGAAACCTGCTTAGCTATAGTCTCATTATGGTCTCTGGCAATATTAGCTATAGTCTTATCACGGTCTCTGGCAATTTCCGTGGGATTGTTCTCAAGTTGGTTGATTGCCGTGGTTGATTTTTGAGTGTATACAAACGACCCATCGTGCTGGGATACTATGTTCTTACCACTATTAGGGGATTCATTAGCTCCTAATATTACTATTTTCTTAGGATCTGTCCTGACATTTCTTTCAACATGTTCTGGTGAAGATTTAGTTCTCGTTCTCACTATTTTCACTTTGGCGCCAGATGGCAGAACTTCGGTTCTGACATCGACCACTTCTTTGGTAGCCGACAAATCTCCTAGGACGGAATTATCTGTATAAGCACCTATACTAAGATTAGAATTGCAATGTATCAACGGGGTCTGACCTGATAAGGCTTTTGAGACTAGAACAGGGATTCCTCCGGGCACTTGCAAGATTTTCCGCTGACCATCGGGGCCAAGGACAACATAACGGACTAGATTCGTCCTTTTGGGTAGCAACAAAGGCGCAGATGTTCTTGGTAATCTTGGTAAACCAACAAAAGAGACGCACGGTCCCACTAAGGTACCATCTGTCTTATCGGAAGTATTCATCACGAACGGTAACATTGATGATGGTGAGGACTGAGAGGGCGCCCGAAAACGTAACATACCGTCTTGATCACCTACGACAGCAGAGGTTTTATCACCTAACTTTAAAGGTGGTGCCATAGCTATATCGAGATCTGTTACACTCTTGCGTTTTGTCTCTGTTGCCGCACGTGACTTAGATCTTGTGATGCGAGTTTCTCCTTCCCCAGCGTTGGAGGCAACTTTCGCGGCAAGAGGTTTATAACAGCCAGCAGTCACTGTTATCGTTTTCTCAAGAGTAGAGTTTTGTGTCTGTTGGGTTGAAGCTGTTTGATCGGTAGATGGTGGTGCGTGTGTCAACCTTGATGGAATAACCGTTCCTAGCGAATCAATCACAGTGTTTCCAGCTGTCGGATTATTTGTATCCATCCTTGCTTTAATGATACCTTCGATCGCATGGTCTGTAGGACGGGCACTGCTTATCGGTGCTGATAGCGGGACAGCTGGGTCTTCATCGGGTTGACCCAATTTTAGAATGGAAAGTGCCTTGAAGACATTCGACGTAGTGGCTGGCAAACTTTGAGCTTCATCTGTGATGTTTCCGACGCTCACTGGCGTAGGATATTTAACGGTGATCACTTCTGGGGTAAATGACGCGCACTTTGCAGGAATGCTAAACTCTGAAGGCTTGTCATCTTTCGCTGCTGATTCCCCAGATACGTTGGCAGTATCGGAGGGATCCAGTTTCAATGGCGGTTTATTCATTTGTGAATCGATCAAGGAAGGAGTCGCGCAACTTGCGGGAGCAGACTTTTTCACCTTCGATACGTTGCCAGTATTGGAAGGATCCAGTTTCAATGGCGGTTTATTCATTTGTGAATCGATCAAGGAAGGAGTCGCGCAACTTGCGGGAGCAGACTTTTTCACCTTCGATACGTTGTCAGTATTGGAGGGATCCAGTTTCAAAGGCGGTTTATTCATTTGTAAATCGATCAAGGAAGGAGTCGCGCAACTTGCGGGAGCAGACTTCTTCACCTTCGATACGTTGCCAGTATTGGAGGGATCCAGTTTCAATGGCGGTTTATTCATTTGTGAATCGATCAAGGAAGGAGTCGCGCAACTTGCGGGAGCAGACTTTATCACCTTCGATACGTTGCCAGTATTGGAGGGATCAAGTTTCAATGGCGGTTTATTCATCTGTGAATCGATCAAGGAAGGAGTCGCGCAACTTGCAGGAGCAGGCTTTTTCACCTTCGATAAAGGCCGCAAAATAGAAATCCCTTCTTGAGCAGGTGTTTGTGGTACACCCAGACGAAAGAGGACCTTCTTCTTGTCCGAATCATTCAACCTCTTTGTTACATCATTAATGACCTGCTTTGGACCCTGCAGCACCATATTCTTGATACCCTTCTCTTTCATCATAAGCTTCAGGTCTTTAACATACTCGTCCACTGATGTATAACGTTTCTTCCGACTTTCTTCATCGCCTGAAAACAGACTGGAAGTCTTACTATCATCGGCTTTGCCCGCTTTGGATCCCGCCTGGACTTTGAATAGGTACGTTTTCTGGTTACTTGTTTCTGGAAGTGATTCAGACGTCGTTGTCTTCAACTCAGAGTTCTTACGAATAACATCATTAATCCTTGTTGTATCAAGTCCTTTACAGTCCACAGATTCTCCTGCGAGTCCTTCACGTCCTACGCTACTTTCTGCACGGGTTATGCTAGAGGCGCTGGATGGGGTAGACATATTTGTCAATAAAATGCCATCCTTGGGATAAATCCCTTTCACATCCACCTTTAAAGGTACGGTCCTCGGTTTAATAGTACATTGAGAAGCGCTCGATGTGATAGATGTGGTAGATGGGGTTGAACACCCTGTGGGTTCACTGCGAGAAGAAGTACACATCTGACTAGTTGGCATGGGGGGAATGAGATTCGGGTTTGTCGTGAATTCTTCTTCTTCACCAGGCTTCTGTGTCTCAGATTCACAAGCCATTTCTTTAGGTGTTGAAACCTGTGTCTGACGCAATCTATTACTTCGATCCTTGACATCAAATGCGAAAGCCACTTTACCACCAGTTTTCCTTCTTCGCGTTTTTTTAACCCCTCTTGTGGGAAGCGCAGAAACTGGCAATACTGCTCTCTTTGACTCAGGGAAGGACAGTAGTTCGTCTAACATAGAAGACCCGCGTGTCTCCTTTCGTCCCACCTTCATGGTGCAGTATTGTTTGCTTTCGATCGAATCATCGATTCCCTCTTTGACCTTTGCCTCGTGACCTTGCTTATCAGCCCGTGTTTTGATTTGTTGCGTTTGTGATGTGGTTTCCCGCTTGCTAAATTTATCTCCATAAAACATAACTTCACCTTTTTCTTCCTCGGCGTTAGCGGTTTCATCGGCACTAGCAGTTTTTTCGGAATCCTCGCCATTAGCAGTTTCCTCGACACTGTCCTGACAACTATTAACAGCAAAACTTTGATTTTGAACAACACTGGCCTTACCGAGGGAAGTTGGTGCACTTCTCTGAGTGGATGAATAGAGGTCTGTATGAGGCGTTGACTCTGTCCCGTTCGCTATCTCATCTGCGCTGTTAAGACCCAGAAACTCTTCTGCGCAGTCATCAGCTGTCGACAGGAAACTTTCATCATAGTGGAACTCCGAATCGTTATCGACATCATCAAAGTTTTCGTGCTCGACGTCGGAGAGCTTTCGCAGAGCGGGAACCTCCTCGTCAGAGTCTTCTATCCATCCGTCATCACTACCTGGTTTATCCGTGATCATAAACGAGTCATCGTCGAGATCAACAGCGGGTTGATCAGCAACCACCTGCAAAGTAGGGTTCTTTTGATCGGACTCTAGACTAGTGGTGATTATCTGAGACTCCATGATGACTTACTTCTGCATGCAATCTTGCTTGGACGGTACCGAGAAAAGGTGGAAGATCGGGCGTACGGGAGCGCTGTAAAGAAGCATACATTTCCGAAGCTGTAAATCACAGCGATGAAATATGCCTGATGTCATGTATGGCCGGTCGCATTTCGCCTGAAGAGAAAACAAAGCGAGAAAAAACATATCAAAATTTGGGACAATATCTTAAACTCTGAAAAGAAAAGGCAGCTTCGTTCTACAGTTTTATGAAGATTAATGTTAGACAAAGAAAGAAAAAGCAAGTAAATAACAATACAATAATACCAAGTTCCATTTCTGAACAATATTGTCTGTCGGTCCAGAAGGGTAATAATATTGAAGTGAAACGCAATGTCTTAAAGTACGGTTAACTTAATATTGTCCGATTACTCATAAATACATGTTCATAATATTTACATTAAACTGGCTGGATTGGCAAAACAATGAAAACACACACACAGACAAAAAGAAATTGACTGTTTTCTCTAATTTCTTTATTAATTCACATGCAGTAGGTCTATATAAGTTACAGCAATGAAGTAATGTTCAAGTGCATTTCTTTTCCAGAAAGAAAATCTTTTTTTTTTACAAAATCAAAGAATGAATAAACAAAAAGGGGCATTTTTAATAGCATCGATTAACATCCAAGCAGGATACAATTGCAACAAGGAAAAAAAATATATATGTATATGGCAACATCCCTTGTTTGCACAATTAGACTCATCGTGATGTGATGTTGCTATACAGTGCGTCCCAGAAAAAAACGAAACCGAGAAGTATCGATGTTCTATCATAACTTCATCACAACTATATTTAATGAATGATACATATTTGGAAAGCTTAGAGTCTCCTCTTTCATGTGATGCTACTCAGATAATGCATATTTCGCGCATGAGTGATTAAAAGCAATTTTAAGGAAGGAAACCAAAAAGACATTTGGCGGGCGGTATCTGAATTTCGAAGAAAAATTCACATTTCAAGAAAGTTGAGTTTCTGCCCTTTCATATGACACCTCAATCAGGAAAAATGAGCGAGGAATGACAAAGTTCTGTTTGTTTAAAGTAGTGCTTGCATTTCCATAATTTTATTAAACGAATTCGTTTTCACTGGCTGCCTGCCGTATCAATAAACGAAATTAACAAAAGACTTAACTCCGTTTCGTTGACAATCAGCCGTAGACGAGAGTCTTCATGCATGGCTGATTGTCAACGAAACGGAGTTAAGTCTTTTGTCAAATCTGCTTTTTGCTACGGCAGGCACCCAGTGAAAACGAATTCGTTTGTTAAAATTATGAAAATGTAAGGGCTACTTTAAGCAAACAGAACTTTGTTATTCCTCGCTCATTTTTCTTGATCGAGGTATCATATGAAAGAGCAGAAAATGAACTTTCTAGAAATATGAATTGTTCTTTGAAATTCAGATACCGCCCGCCAAATTACTTTCTGATTTCCTTCCTTCAAATTGCTCTTAATCACTCATGCGTAAAATATGCATCACGTGAGTAACATCAACTGAAAGAGGAGACTCTAAGCTTTCCAAATATGTACATTCATTAATTATGGTTGTGATTAAGTTATGATAAAACATCGATACTTCTCGGTTTCGTTTTTTCTGGGACGCACTGTAGAAACGGATTGATCTGCTCGAAGTTTGTTGCGCTATTGTTCTCTGAAATAAAAGCGTGCGCCATGTCCTAAGACTTAAGATTCATATTCTACGTCCCCCCCCCCCCCCCCCTCTTCTATCTCGTTACTTCGCCACGTCTCGTGACGATTTCAGTGTCATGTGCAGAGCTGTAGTCAGTACTCGGTATCTGTTTCACTATTAAAGCGGGACTGCACTAGTACCTGTAGCTACGTACGCCCTCTATATAGAATGGATATACACTTTACGCTTTGACAAATCCATAATTATTTGCAGTACACATATTTAGGTAGCTTATAGATATCTAATTGTATCTCATGTAAAATGATGTTTGCACTAGAATAAGTAGGCGTACATACTTCTGTCGAGTCTACAGCCGTACAGAAATATATTGCATCCAAGTTTATGACATGTATTGAATATTGTTTGTATCAGTTTTGCTTTGACATTTTAGACACCTACAGTTAACAAACTAAAATATTCATACCCTTACTAATTATGTTTTCTTGAGCCCCACTGTACAACTTGTAGCTACTTGCTACCTCCCCCATGGTCCTCTTTATCTTATGTTAACTGAAAGCCGATTTGATGAGAAAACCATCTGTCAGTGACCATGCATGGAAGTCTCTCCTGGCCAAACTAGTACAGACAGGCTTTAATATTTAATTATTTACATATTCAAATTACATTTAAAATTAAACTATATTTACATGACCATTTGATTAATACATTTGACCGATTTGTTCCTATCATCTTCTTTCATTAAATTCTATTAGAGAAATGTGAATTAATCGGATCGCTCACTACGCGGTTGGCTTAAGTACTAATTAGAATATGATGACGACAAACAACCTAAACTAATAATAAGTAGAACACATACATCACCTGATGCGTGCTCACGCACTGTCGAAGATAAGGAAGATGTCTAGATGCAGTGCTCATAAGAGATCCTAAAAGAAAGAATATTATTTTACCATGATTAGGTTTCTTTCGCATATTTATTTACAAAAGTAGTCAAGCAAATAAGAAAAAAATAATAATATTTTAGTAACCACCTTAGTTCCAATTCCAAGGTTATCACTTGTTAAATTGGACATAAGAAACCTTTGATGTATAGACATCATAATATTTATTTTCTAAGATGAAGTTTATAGAGTTTTTTTTTTGGGGGGGGGGGTGGGGGTGGTGCACGAAGGAACCCCCTCCCCCTCCCTTATCTGCCGAAGGCACTGCACACGTCTTAATCAGTAGGCTACTTGTGTAACTTGAGTTTTGTATAATATCTAAGGCGGAAAATAACTTCACAGCTTTCTTTTCCAGTTTTACTCACGTGCGGGTTGATACGCAATTACTCAAATTTGTACTATAATCAGAATAACTTATAGTTTCTTTGACAAGACACATTTTCAAGAGCGTGGTCAGTACTATCATCTTCAATTCACATATCTTCGTATTAAATGAAAGTCACCTCTTAGCTTGAAGATTAGCGGAACGCAGGACGGCGTGTGAATCTTCCGTGTGGTACTACGTCTAGTAGCATGTTCTGAAACATGAGAGCAAAAAGAGAGAGTTATTTAAATGGCAATCCAGTAATTTCATTTGTATGAATGCGGACAACTAAGAGAAAACAGAATGGTGAGATTTTAAAACAAATAACCAAAAGTAAGATTGTTATAAGTGTTTGAAATATGTGATCGCTAAATATATGCGAATCGCAAATTGGCAAATTGGCAAATTGGCAATTTGGTCGCTGGATCGTAACGTATTCATGGGCAACTCTCCCAAATTCCGTGTACAAAAAAATATCATAATTTCTCCCAAGGGTGTCGATTTGTATCCGTGGTTGGGGGGGATGATAGGTGCCAAAATATTTTCGGCAATGGATCAAAGCAACCAAAGTGGTAGAAGCGTGTGGCAAGTTGCACCCCTCCCAAGCGCGTAGCCAGGATTTAATTTAAGGGGGGGCGGTAGTTAGCACACGAAGCGCGGTTCCTAGGGGGTTGGGTGCAGGGAGGGGGAGTCCCCCCCCCCCCCGCAAAGCGAGGAAGCTTTGACGTTTCACTAAATTATTAGAGAAAGAAGACGATTCGTTGGACCGTTCTCGACTCTTAATCCTTGTTTGAATTAAATTCTCCTTCCTCCGCGCGTAGCGCGGTAGCTCTGACGTTTCATTAGATTATTAAAGAAAGAAGACGATTCTATGTACCATTCTCGACTCTTATTCCTTGTTTGAATCAAGCTCCCCTTCCCCCGCGCGTAGCGCGGAAGCTCTGACGTTTCATTAGATTATTAAAGAAAGAAGACGATTCGATGTACCATTCTCGACTCTTAATCCTTGTTTGAATCAAGTTCCCCTTCCCCCGCGCGTAGCGCGGAAGCTCTGACGTTTCATTAGATTATTAAAGAAAGAAGACGATTCTATGTACCATTCTCGACTCTTAATCCTTGTCTGAATTCATTTTTACCCAATCCTGCGCGAAGCGCGGAAGCTTTCACATTTTATTACATTATTAGAGAAAGAAGACGATTTGTTGTATCGTGTCCTTCATGAATTCAGTTTCCCCCCTACCGCGCGAAGCGCGGAAGCTTTAATGTTTCAATAAATTATTACTCTTTATCCTTGTCTGTATTCACTTTCGCCCATTCCGCGCGTAGCGCGGAAGCTTTCACGTTTTATTAAATTATTAGTAAAAGAAGACGATTAGTTGTATCGTGTACTTTGACGTTTCATTTGATTATTACTCTTAATCCACGTCTGAATTCAGTTGCCCCCCTAACAGCTTTGCCCTGTTCGCTAAATTATTAGAGAAAGAAGACGATTCATTGTACTGTTCTCTATATTAATCCTTGTCTGAATTCAGTTTCCCAACTGAAAATAAGTTGTGACATAATAATCTTTCTCCAAAAATGAAAAATGTTTTAGGAAATATCAGGAAATAAAATGAGTGAAAAAAATAAAAATAAAGATACAATGACGTGAATTTTAAAAAGGGTGAACGGAAACAACATAACAACTAGTGAACTATTTTATAAGTCATACTAATGTCCGAAAATCTTTCTCTTTGTCTCCGATCTCATCACGAAATCGTCACAGAGTTCATCTATGTTTACACTGTCCAGGATTGTCTGATGTGCATTGCAGATTGCTACTTTTGTGCTTCGCGCTTAACATTTAGCTCGTTGCTTTTGATGCTGCGTCTTTGCATTTGGCGCACTGCATTTCTATGATATGCTGTTGATTGAACAAATTGAATAAATTCATCAATTCCTGATGAAGCCGTATGAGCGAGAATTCAATTTATTCTTGTCTCATATACGGTTGTCTTATTAACTTCGTATATAATGTATGTATTATGAAAATGAGATAGCAAAATGTGTATATTGATGGTCATCTTGCGAGTAATAACAATTAACTACTCTCATCGGACTCTCATCATTAATTTTTCTCTTCATTTAAAAAAATAATTTTATGGTGAATTATTGGGGGGGATGATTGTACAGGCCATCCCCCCCACCTGAAATATTGGGGGGGATATATCCCCCCCATCCCCCCCGGGATCGACACCCATGATTCTCCCCTTGGGCACTAATCAAAATATGTTGTGGGCGGCATTGTCATTAAATATTCTCTTAATAGATAACAAAAACATCCAGATTCATACATTTTTTAAGAAGAAAAAAAAAACTTTATAGGAACAAATAAGAAGTCCGGCGCCTCGTCACAGGGACACTGCCGATTCCCTAATGTCCATGATTACAAAAACTATAGTGGTGAGCCTTCATAACATTCATAACTTTATCAAAGTCCGATTTGGATCAAACTTTCACCAGTCTTGTCATGTCATTTTCCAGCTTCCTTTTAGAACAGTTTATTGTTAAGTTTTGATTTCCCTTTAAAAAAACTAAAAGCTTCTTGGCATGTCTGTATTTATTTTCTTCTTCACAAAATAAATAACATATAGCAAATTTCCCAGTTTGGCATCAATTAAGGGCGAAACTGACATTAATAATGTTGATAATATTTATTAGCCCGCTATTTGTGGGCGGGGTTGGAAAAAACAAATAGTGTCCCCATTTCATGAACGCCAATACCATATGTCGGCTTCAGTATTACAAGAAATATAAAATATCATGTACAGCTATAAAAAGGGAGAGTTACATGTCCCATCGGTCACACTGGAATTGCCCGTCAAGTCGCGGTCAGTTCGAACGTAGTTCTTGGTCTTCATATAGACCGTTTGGTTTACTAGACCATTTGCTGGCCTGGTTAAACGCGACGCACCGAATTGATAAAATCATGGACCGAACAAAGCTTGAATTGTAATTGCACTCGGGGTGTTTGAGTAAAATTAATCCTACTAGTAGATATGGTTGAAATGTTACATGATATTATATAGTTTCTGCTTAAAAAACATTTACCGATCTGAAAAATGAAGAAACGACTCTAAAAATCCTGGATACCTAGCAGAATCTAAGTATGACTGAAATCACCGACTAAGCTACAAGGGAAGGTACTATGGTATCGTCGAGAAAACAGATGGAATTACAATAAACGTCGCATTATATGAAAGGGATAGTTGAGTTCTATTTTCAGACCGCAAATGCCTTTAAAGTGCATGGTTATTGCTCTTATTCTTATCTTTGAAATTTATAGTGCCCTTTTAGAACCTAAAATTACTATGAAGGTCATTTTAGACCCCAAAATGTGTGAAATTTTGTCAATACGATCATACCAATTCAGCTCCACTTGGTGACCGCTAATTAATTATTTAATTAAAAATAAAAAAATACACGAGCCGGCTAATTGTGGGGAATATAAGCAACACGAAAATGCCAACAAAAAGCCAACATTGGCATTGGCTGAAATACGACGTAAAAGGCGTTATTCGTTTGTTTTTTTTTCAACGATTTTTTCAAATTTTTCAAAATATCTAATACTTGTGGTGGTACACAAGTATTAGAAATCGTTATATTTCAGCCGTCTCTGAACCGATTTTGATCAAACAAAGATGATTTTGTCATTTAAATATTATGTTCTTTCGAATTTGACACTCATTTTTTTATTATCTCACAAAACAATTTTTTGTGTAGCGCCCTCTGCAACAGAACTCAACTATCCCTTATATGAAGTTGAGGTTGTTGATGATAATATTCATCTTGGGACTGATATTAATTATAATCTTCATTTAAATGAAGATATGAAGAAGCAATTAACCAATCTAGAATAGCAATGTGTAATCTTGATATTAAAGCAAAAAGAAACGAAAATGCTTGCCAAATGTGCCATTGGATGTGCAATGGTATTGGTAGGCCTATACCCATTTAGCTTCGGGGTTTTCAAGATTTAGGTTGTTTCGAAATGTTTCAAGATAAATTTCTGGATGCTTGCTATAGGCTTGAATCGTGCAACAAATTATACACTTATGGTTAATAATATAATATAGGGTTTACTGGTTAGGATAAACATCTGTACATTGAAGGTCGAAATTGTCTTATATTATTTATAGGCTTATACGTCAGATAGGACATTAAATGTCCCATTTGCAGCCAACATCACTTTCTGTGGAACTTTGCAGGAATTATGAACATGTCACGTAGACTATGTCCTATCAGTGAAATTTAAACGTTAGCAGCGTCCAAATATTCAAATTATGCAAGGAAACCGTTTTCTTTCTAGATTTCACTGTCAGACACTATTGGGTAACTGACCGAGTTGTTTTTCCTTTGGTAATAACATACATAAAATGAGCTGTGAAGAGTACATGAGCATTGACATTGTCTACATCAGTAACCCAATTCTTGTAACAATGGCCAAACTCAAACTGATTGAATCTTTGCGCAGCACAGAACGTTTTGAGGGAAGTTCTAAACCCTCCCCCCCCCCCCCCCCTCCCCACTCCGGGGTCGGAATGACCGCATGCGTGTTATCAAAATGTCCGGTAAAGGGGTACTTTTCGTGCGACAAAGTCCGGCCCGAGAATTGTAAGAAAAGGGGGTGTATTTGACTTTTCACCCGGAGATTTCTTTAAAAAGGGGGTGTTTTTTTCTCTTTTTCTCTCATCTCTTTGGACTCCTGAGAAATGATTCCGAATTTAGGGGGGTCTCCAAGGCAGGAAAATCCCGAGAAAGGGGGGTTCGGATTTCGGAAATGTTGGCAGTCCTCAGATAGGGGGTGCTTTCAAAAAGAGGGAACAAGCATACGCGTACCCTAAATAACACTGAGTGGGGGGGGGGGGGTTCTAAATCAGTGTTATTTTTAAATTTAACCTTTTCATTTTTTGTTCTGGCATGCAAATTTGTCATAGTAGTCTACCTTTAGGTGATAAATATTTCACAGGAATGTGGAATGTCTAACTTACGTCAAATCAAACTATTAGTTGTGTTAATTCATCAGTTGGCCTTAGACTGGGTGATATAGCCCCCCAAAAGGGGAATGAGGAGGTTTATGTAAATCGCTCAATTATAGAATATTCAAGAGAAAATGTGCTTTTGAGAATTATGGTTGGAGCTAGGGGGGGGGGGGGGGGGTACAGTTAGGTGTCCGGACACTTATCATGCACATAAAGCCTTCTCTTTCGCTCCAGATTGAACGAAAAATAATCATCGAACAGCACTCATCATCACGAGTATCCGTTACGATATTGTCAACATATTCTTAGAACTTCTGAAATATTGCTTGCAAACTTCTTTAACTTCTTATTTATTTATTATTTGAATATTTCATCAGAATAACAAGATAATCCTGGTCCTAGTGAATATTAAACGTTAACCCTCAAACATAAAAATGAATTAATCATAATACATAGGACTAGATCTATATAGGTCTATTCAGAATTGTTAAAAAAAACTCATGAAGTCATGATACAAATATTTAGCGACCCATTCGATTGTCATTGATTTCAATTATATTTTGTTCGCTCGTGGGTACCATAGCAATAGTGTTAATAGTTTGGTCGATAATTTCAGTCGTTCGTATTTCGAGCAAACGTAACTCGACGGGCATATTGAATAGGTTGTACAGCGCACACCGTACAGGGGGCGTTGTCATAACTCACACAACTGGACAACACACACTAGATTCTACTCACAGTTACACAAACACACACTTAAACAAAGACACATACACACACACTTCCCCTGTGTAAAATGAATCTAGGCGCTGACCTTGTACCTGTATGTACCTGGCCGGAGAATTGCGCAAGCGTATATAATGCTGAGAAGTATTGTTCTTTTCATGTACACACACGCACGTAGGCTGTATGCTGGAGGGTGTGTATCCGGACACTTACCAAAATAAAGCCGTCACTTTTGCATGCATATAGCACTGGCCGTGATAAAGAAATGCACTTGATAATGTTGTCTAACATATGAAACTGTTACGTTGACTTGTTCAACCTACTGTTTGAAATGAACTGCCATATTAACAACCTGTCTGTAGATATCAAGTCTATTGTATATACACTCACATATGCACACAAAATATGCAGCGATAATCAGATGTATCTGCATGCGCAGGCTCGTTGAATTGTCTCGCAGAAGCACTCCTTATAAAATAAAGAATATCCACTGCGATCAGGAACAAAAAATAAACAAATAATTGATTATAGATTCTAAATCTTACTTACAATGAGACTGCCAATGACAATGCAGAATCCATATTGGCATTACGCAGACCTGCATTACGTCATTCTGTGCTCAGACTCAGTCCCACGACATTGATCTCAATTCTTCATTACACAACATGCAGTAGACCTCTACGCATAATACGTACACGCACCTTGTTATCGCGATCACACGTTGAAGATGATGTTTACATTACATGAGGCTCGTTCGCTACTATTCACCGTACCTAGCTAGCTGTATCTTCTCTGTTCTCTTTGCCTGCGCTGCGCTTAAACTTGTGTGCGCATTTAATAAGCGTATTAATTACTAATATACAAATGCGCTTAATCTTCATTTACATATGCACATGGAAAATAAAAATGACAACATAATTGGTATTGTGCAAAATTGTGAATGCAGTGCATGCAGGGTTTCTTTTAGATTGGTGCCGCCGCTTGCGGCGAGTTCATGGTGCGCACTATCTGAATAAACCGAGTATACACTGCATTTATACATTACGCACAACAGGGTCAAGTGCGTTTAATATTTGTTTTATAAATAGCAACGCATGAAACGAAAGTCTAACTTTAGAGTCTATAGGTTATGTTGGTTCTAGAAAATGAAAAGATAAGACCTTGCTTCTTGCTCAGCTCTACACGTACCCTGCGCTGGATATCGATCTTTAGCGTGCAATATCATTTTTGACAGCGCTTTTTTTTTTTGGCACGATCGTGTCATGTGACCCGTTTTGCCCAATCACGATGCTTAAAATACTAGAGCTATTTGATATAAGACAAAAGATAAATATAAAGAAAATATCGAACTCATGACATTTTATGTGCCCATACTTAAATTAATGAAAACGAAACATTATTTTTGACATTTAAAACAAAAAGATTAAATGTGTTTGGACATAATCGCATATGGAAACGTTTGCTTGTATTTGTCTCATAAAAGAATTTGAGCACGAACTGACTCCCACACGGTGTTGAGTGCTCAGGGGTCACAGGCCACTGGCTTCATTGGGCAGGTAGTTCCATTATGTGAATGGGTAAATTAACTATTACAAAATGAGGGGACACATTACATTGTACAATGGGGACACACATTGTTTTTATTGTGCAGAACATACTCTTTTATTAACTTACTTATTGCATAAAACTATAAAACCAAAATGCATTTTGTATTCTAACAATTGGAGTACAAAGAATGATAGCAGGTGAATGAAATGCTTCAACAGCAACACAAACACCTGGGAAGCTAGGAAGCATCCATAAATTTGAATAATTTAGTTGATAAACGACTCCGCATGTGGACGTTTGTTGGAGCAGAAAGCAGTGGATTCTTAACAACCCGAACCCATTTAACAGAATGTCGGAACGTAAATTAAATTTGGCGAGGTTGGAAAATGCATCTTTCTACCCTGCGACTTTAATGGTACGATCCAGTAAATCAAAACAGTAAAATGGCTTTTATTTAAAAATTACTCATTAAATAAAACCCAAAACTTTAGTGATGTCAGAAAAAATATGTTATATCTTACTAATAATTTAAAAAGATGTATAAACATTGTGAAAGTGTCGCATTTTACGATAAAAGACACCGATTAAGCAAAGACCACGTCATTAGTGCGCTTGCATCAGGGAATTTAAGGTCAAAAGGTCAATTTAGACGCTGATAAGTTGTTGGTCGAGCATTTTTGTTTCCTTTATTCCGACAAAATTATACAATCAATCAAAATAAGTTTGATACCAGAAGTAAGCTAACGATTAGTATTTTCATTAACCGCTTGCCCCAAAGTCTCTTGACCACAGTAAAACGAGTGAGAGCTTGCGAGAGCGGCCAAAGTGTGATTGAAACTCGCTATTTGCTCTTCTCCATCGCAAAAAGAGACGACATTGTGCTGGATAAATGTATTTTTTCCGACAAAAGTACAGAAAATTCGCATATGGTCTTTTTATATTATACTTTATGAAATGTTACCCGAGTGACTTCCGGGCGCCCCAATGCTGGAAAGAAACGCACATTTTAGAAAACTTCACTTTTTCATGGAAAATGCTTATTTGTTCTATGCACGCAAGTCAGATTGAGCGGATGATACAACGTTTCCATATGAGTTAAAAAGCTGATCAATTTTCAGTGTATTCGGTCTTTCAATACAATATTTATTAAGGAACGATTTTCTGTCTGAACGAAAAGCATGCACGCATGCAGGTAATGAACCTCATCCTCAAGTGATTTCAAATTGCGTCGAGCGTATTTAAATTCATTTTCCTAGGGAGTATTCGCCGGATATCTACCAGAAAAAAATCGGCAGGTGAAAACGACTTCAAAATTGTCCAATCTCAGTTAATGACATCGATTAAGTATCTTTCTAAATATAAAGAATGTTTTAAGTTTCGATAGTTATCTCACAAAATGTGATTGATCGTACATACAAGTAGACCAATACTGAACATGAAAATCTTTCAATCGACGTTCCACCGTTTTGTTTTTGACACAATCACAACTACTATTGTATTTTCAAATATTTCCCGTAAATTAGACATTCCCAAATTGTCAAGAGTCAGCTTGATTTTTTTAAAAACCAAGGTGCCTGATGTATATTCTGCTCAAAGGTTAATTTTAAGATAATGTACACCTCACCAGAAAATGTATCTTTTCTACTAAGTTGTACCATCCTACACCAGGAGTCCATCATTCTGCTTTCGATATATTTCTCAAGTTTAAGCTTCCCCAATTCATAAAAAACATACAATTTGCAGTTGGCTTGCTCACAAAAGGGCTTGTAAACAAAATTTCACGAGGAAACTCTCAAGATCATGTAGCACTTCAAATTTCCATATCTCACTTCCATAGAGCAGAATAGGCAACACAAGCTGATCGAATAGTTTTAAGAGGAAATCAATAGGTAATTGCAATTGGTAAGTTTCAGATAATAGACTATACATTGCTCTTCTAGCTTGATTGAGTTGTGCTTAACATGTGTAGGTCAATCGATATTCTAACTTCGACCGAGATTATTATAAGCCATAGGCCTATTATTATTATTATAACTAAACGTATTATCATCATGACTATTATTTATTTTGTTATTATCATTATTATTAGTAGTAGTCCTAGTCCTGTTATTAAAGGTAAAGTTCACCCTGATATTTAGTGCGTTTTTAATAAAAACTGAGGTGAGAAATAAAAGAAAGATTTTAGGAAAAGTCTCCTTAAAATCCTATTAAAAATATTCAGGTTATAATTGTTGTAAGTTGTAATCAATTAGGCACAAATTTGCAACGTTGTGACTAAGTGCAACACGGCCTTACTACAGCGTAACACGGTGATTAAAGTACAAGTCCACTCCAAAAGTAAAGTACTTTTAATAGAAGCAGGAAAATCAGACAAACCCATCAAAAAAAGTTTGAGCAAAATCGGAAAACTAATAAAAAAGTTATGAACTTTTGAAAAAATCTGTAAAACTATGTAACAATGAAAATCATAAGACAGATTGGAAATTTACTCATGAGTCTGTGACGTCATGTCCTCACTATCCACTAATTGTTATGTTTATATTAATAATGTACATTTCCTATTTCCTCCCTAAGAATTTTATTTCTTCACACCAGCATCCAAGTTAGATTGATAATAATATGTTTTTGTGTAGATCCAGTGTGAGTCAAAAAAAAGTTTACACCTAGAAAATTGCTAATTATTTTTAAAATCACCTAATGAAATGAGAGTGCAAAAATCGACTTGCACCAAAGTGATGCCTACAGTATGTACAGTATTATGTTGGGAATAGCGGAGTGAGAGAATGAATTGAATGTATCAATTGAAATGCATTGCATATGTTTTTGCAAAGGGCAAAGTCACACACACCCATACACACACGCGTACAAATGTTCGTTGATGTTTGATATTCGATATGTGATATGTGTGGCATTGAAATGCATTGCATATGTTTTTTGCAAAGGGCAAAGTCACACACACCCACACACACACGCGTACAAATGTTCGTTGATGTTTGATATTCGATATGTGATATGTGTGGGATGTGTGGGATGTTAGGGATGTTATTTGGATCTGCAAAGACCGAATTAATATTCAAATCCAAATTGTTTTATTCAAACGTCACATAGGCAACTTAGGCGCAAGTCGATTTTTGCACTCTCGCAAACAATGTCTCCTGTTCATCCAAGCGTGAACACATACCACACAAAAATGGTACCAAATGATTTGGGATAAAGCACTCGTTCATAAGACATATAACAATTAAATGTTCATCGATGAGTTTTTAAATAATTAACAATTTTCTAGGTGTAAACTTTTTCTTTACTCACACTGTAGAGTACTATTTTCAGTTAAATCATGAAAAATGTGACTTTTGATAAACTATTTATATTAAAAAAAAAAATATATGAATATACAATATTCAGAAAATATTATCAATTCTTCAAAGTTCATAAAAGGTATTGTGCAATGTCATGCATGCAAAATAATACAAATCATATAACCTGGGCAAAACATGGGAAAATCAAGTATTGGAGGATAAAAAGATAAATTAATAGGATTAAACTATATAAAGCAATTGATAAATAGTGAGGACATGACGTAACAAACTGATAACCAAATCGGTAATTTGTGTACTGATTTCCATTGTTCTATGGTTTGGAGTGGACTTGGCCTTTAAGCTCTTGTAAAATAGTCGCTCCGTGTGTTGGCATATTACATTTAGCTACATGTAGCTGTATGCTGCTCGCTCGAACTACTTAGTTAGTAGTCCGGGTCCTGTCCGTTTGTGTTTATATATTTGTTATTCTGCGATCACATGCATCCAACACACAGCGCAGTTTCTCCACACATTGCGCACCCCCCCCCCCCAAAAAAAAAAATACACACAACAACAACAACAGTCGAAAAGAATACAGAGCACTATTCCGTAGAGATCAGTGATACAGAGTGAGAGGCAATATACTGTCACCGTTTCAGCGTTGAGGGTGTGTTATTTTCTCAGCTGATTGGGCGCGCGACAAGGAAACGGCCGGTCCAGGCTGTGGACTTTGTGGTAGATTTATGCTTCAGTGCATATTGTTATTTTACCGTGGCATTCACCTCAGTATTTTTTGTATGTACTCATAGTATCTGCCTAGACGTGTAATTTTACGTGCGTAAA